CAGTACATCTATTCAGATTCAGATGATTTATTGTCAAAATATACATGAAGAAATTTACAATAAATTTACTTATGAACACTGGTTAAAATTTTTGAATGAATGCAAACAAAAGCTAAGCTTAACTACTAATCATATACAGTAAATTCTTTTTTATGATGATGAAAGAATAAAATACTTAACCCCCCACCCCCTGTAAGTATTTCCCTGACTGACCACTTAAATCAGGCTATTTATATGCAGAATCAGGTTTATAAGAAACCATATATACAAGAATAATTATCTAGCTCAACACATCTTATTCATTTAATTGATAAAAATGTCTGTTGGTGAATTTATAACATACAGTACACTCTGTTTTGTGCTTCGTTGCATTTTATTTCATGCAAAAAATAAAGGAATTATACAGGTACTAAAAAATAAAAAATAAAAACTTGCAAATATTAAAATTTATGAAAATCAGAGATATGCAAGTTATAGACTATATGAAAAACTCCAAAGGGATTGAAAAGTACAATTTAAACATCAAAACAAAAATAACATGGATAGGCATGTTATATGTTATAAAAACCATTAGATTAAAGTGTCTGATTCAAATTTGATAAAAACTCTGTAAACAATTTAGGCTGGCAGATTACAGTATTATTATATTCAATAATTAAATAGTTTATATAACATAACTTCAATTATATATAAGTTATTGTATTGAATAATTAAATATTAATTATTCAATACAATGATATCCATGTAGAGTTAAGTTATGGTTATTAAACTGTTTAGTAACCATAACTGCTGTCTCTTATACACATCTAGATGTGTATAAGAGACAGTACTTATCCTTATCATTACCATTATCCAGTATTAATATTACTATTACTATTATTATTATTTTATTATTATTATTAGATGCTGTCGCATTTACAGACCATACACTCTTGCTCATTTCCATTATCTTTATCATTGTAACTTGTTACTAATTGTCATTTTATTAACTGTATCGTTGTTGTTTTCGTTGTTCTTGACGATGATGCAGTGCCGTTGTCATTATCACCTTCAAGGATATTGCTTTTCATCGTCGTCGTCGTCGTTATAGATATTGGGCATACTAATATGCCCTTCCACATAATGTACAGAGTTGCTATATAAACTTGAATTCATTATTATTATTATTATTATTCATTTTTTGCAGGTAGAGAGATTGAGGAGATTGGAAATGTTAATGACGGTAAAAATAAGCTTAAAATATTCTATTATTTTAATCTACCAAATACGAATTATTCGTTGTAGGTATAACCATCTCAGACTCAGGCGCGGATCCAGGATTTTCCCTGACCATCGACAGACGGGTGGTCCTTGCAGTGGTGGATCCACAAATTCGAAATAAAGGGTGCCCAGATAGGGACCTTCGCAGATAGACACCTCAGCCTAATCATGGTTGGGTCTTAGGTAAAAAAAAAAGATTACGTCGCCTCTAGATATGGCCGAAATTGCACTCTCAAGATTTGAATATAATTTTCAGTTTTTTTCTCGATACTCTAAAAAATAATTTTAAAATATTTACGGGGGCCAGGGCCGACTCCCTTCACCTTGAATCCGCCACTGCATGGCTTTAAAACAAATAATGATTATCACGGAATTTCTATAAAAAAAAAATAAACGAACTTATTCTTGAGAGAGGACTTGATGGTTGTTATACAAGATTACTCAGACACGCCTTGAATATCAATTATAAACAACATTACAAATAAAGACACATATGGAGATATTCCTCCTGCGTATCACGAACTTTGAGGGCACGTAGGTTAGGGTTGCTAGACATTTCTACAGAAGTAAAAATGAATTAGTTATTTCTGGGCCCTTTTGAATCCGCAAAGGGGTACTTTCACAGATCGAGGATCTATACCACCTCAGCCCCACCATGCTTGGGGATGAGGTGAGAATATTTGTGATTATGGCACCTTTAGATGACCGGAAATTGCACTCCTAGACTTAAAATTTAGGCCACACACCCCCTTGAATCCGCCAATGCTTTCGAACAAAATCGAGGTCAAGATTGCTTCCACGATCTCAATGAATTATTAATCATGAGGGTTATCCTTGATATAGAAATAGAAATTGAAGACCATAATGTAACTCTCTGGTAGGGCCTACTGTACAATCAGTGTAAAAGTGTAAGACACAGGCTAGTGTGGATTTAAACAATGTCCTAAAGGTAATGTTCAAAATAAGCGTCAAGGAAAGTAAGTATGATTGTTGGAAAAATAATCAACATTTTATTTTTATTCCTCACCCTGACGTTCACCTGGGCGAACTGGGCAAAGGTTTGGATCCACGCCTGCAGACTCGCATCGTTATTGTGCATTTTATCCCTAAATATACTTTTTACAACATCTGAATGTAAATAGTGTACCAAAAGGTCCACTGATTAATCTCAGATAAGATAGTATAATACATACTCCAAGTATCGAAATCGTGTCGGGATCCAATATTTCGACATTAACAGAGAATGAGGACTGTATGTTTTAATGACAAAACAACTTAAAACTTGTATGAACTAAATTCACAGAAAGTCAAATTAGATGTTGTAGATACAAGTACGATGCAATTTAGCAGCCCGGCAACGCTAACACCCTATGCATTCGATCAGGGGCGTATCCAGTGGGGGGAGGGGGGCGTGGGAGCCGGCTCCCCCTCCCCCTTTGTACACAGTGTTAAAATTTTAAAGCTTATTCTTGAGCCAATACAAATTCTTTCCTGGGATTTTTCGCATGATGCGCTCTACAAGTCCAACTATTATTATTATTATTACTTCTAAAACATGTAAATATGGATCAGTACACGTTATACATAGGCCTAATAGAACACATAGGCCTAAGCGTGATTAAAAAAAATCTTAAATCCATAAATCTCAGGCCAGGTCTTTTAAGATAGAAATGCAATACTGTGGTTCAAATTCGTTTTTATCCTTTTCCAAGTTTCTTTAAATTTTTGCTTAATTATACTACTACTAATAGGATAATGATAATAACAATGATGATGATGACGATAGTAATAATTGATAATAATAATATTAATAGCAATAAAAGTGAAGAAAACTGTGCTAAATGCGAAAAAAAGTTGTGATTTGTAGATCATAATATAGTATATATATAGTTAAAGCATAGTAAGCTATGGTTAGGCCTAAGTTGTCCTGGATATTAAGTAGATCCCTGATAAAAGATCATGAGAAATTTGTTGGCGTTTCATTTTGACTATAACGGGAAGGATGTGATGATGATGAATTTTACTATATAAAAGTGTCATTTCCGGCCATCTCGAGAGGTAGTATTTCCTTAAATTTTCTCACCTCAGCCCCAGCCCCAGCCATGGTGGGGCTGAGATGGATGTGAAATAACGCTTTTGAAGTAGGCTTATGTAAAGTACATACTCAAAGACAATATTTTTAAGCTTTGTTTTCTGTGCTATATCACACACATAATAAGATCTCTATGGTTGTCAAAAATCCCTGCGCTTATTTATAATGCGTCTATTGCAATTTTCACTTTATCCTCTCAAACAGTCCTAAGAACGTTCGGAGTGCGCTACTTCACAGGGGGATTCGCCCCTTGACCCCGCCGGAGTCATACGTAATTCGTATAACGGCTCCCCCTTTTCAAAATCCTGGCTACGTCCCTGACTGTTATTAGTCACCGTTATAATAGAATGATTGTTTAAAATAGATAAATATACTCAATAAGTATTTTATTTTCTTACATTTTATTGAACTAAACTGATGTTGAAAATTTAACGTAGCGCGACCGTCTAGCATGAAATGGGGATTTCCCTAGAGCAAGAATACGTTGTTTCATTGCGGTAGCCTGAAGTTTACACGAATTTCCAGTTGTTTATGTGAACATTTGTAAATAATGAAAACAAAAATTATGGGAACAGTTTGGAGCTTAAAAAATAGGTGCGGCATATACACAGGTGACAAAAAAATCGTGATATTTCGCGTCCTAATTAGGGGTGCGGCTTATACACCGGAATATAAGGGACCTTTTGGCATTTGATCGTGCGATACCGTAGCTCGGCGAGTTTGCTGAGCGTGTAAGTAGACCTATGTGATGAAAGTCCGTCGTCCTCAAGCAGTGGCGACATTTGCACCCTAGATCGAAGGTGACGGCTATGGTGGGATCATCGTCCGTCGGATTTTTTTCAAAGCGTACCCATTAATGCTTATAATGATGATGAAGACGGGCTCCCCTTGGCAAATGAAGCGAAATCTATATATATATATATATATATATATATATAATAACATAATATCATAATAATAGAAGAAGAATCTGACAAAAAAGAAAAAAAAAACTCATTCTCCATCGGGATTCGAAGCCAGGACCTTTAGCATGCATATCGAACGCATGTTTAACCCTCGTTTCCTTTCAAACCAGACACCAATTTTACCCAAACCTAATCAAGGCCTTTGTCGGCAAGTTGGTAAGAAGACGGTGAAGGCGAAGTTTCCTTTTTTATTCAGATCTGATTTCCTTATCTTCTGTTACATTTAAATTAGATATTAAATTTAAACATAACAGAAGAGAAATCTGACAAAAAAGAGAGAAAGAAACTCATCCTCCGCTGGGATTCGAACCCGGGACCTTTAGCATGCATAGCGAACGCATGTTTAACCCTCATTTCCTTTCAAGCCTGACACTAACTGCACCCGACGTCGTCGGCCAACGCAATTCTATGTAGAACGCAACGCCACGACGCGCGCGAAAAAGATCGTTTTTAATGACGATCCGTTCAGACGGCTCACACAACCACAGAAGATCAGCAGACAGTGTTGCGTCGTCGTAAGACGTAGTGAGTGCCCGGCTTAATAAATACAGAGGATATCAAATACGAGACACAATTGTCAGATGATTTAAGAACTTTTAGATCAAATTCATGCAATTACCTGGAAAATCCAATTGTAAACCAATATCTAAGTATGTAATACTAGCCGATTTCCTTTTACTTCTTAGGTACATACCACTTAAATTGATGTATTTATTAACTGTTGCAAGTGTTTGTTTATACCAAAGTTACGTTGTTTTCCAGTAATATCACAGGACCAATATATACATTAACAATGGACCTTTCCGGAGTGTCAAACTTAATAACTGACTAATCGGAACAACGCTAGGAATACGCGCGCGTCTTACAAACACACGTGTTGTCCCACAAACGCACATGTTCGCGTATGTTTTAACACTGCAGTCTTGTGGGACCTTAGCAACAAAATCCAAGGGGTGGAGCTTTGCGGAAAGGTCCATTAGATCATTACTATAACTATTCTTAGGTATTTTACTACATACTTTTCATTTCAGTAAGTGGAAATGGAACGCGCTTTATAAATTGTGCCATAAGGAATGTGAGGGTTTTAAACATGTTTATCCCACATGAGAACGAGAAAAGGAAAGGTAAAAATTCAACTATTTTGATAGGCTTGATGTTCATCCGATTATTACGTAATACGAGCCCACGCTTTTTATATAAATAAGCTGAGATATTTAATGCAGTCTTTATATTATTTACTGACTTCCATTTTTACATCAATAGGACAGTATAAGTTTGAACTTAGCCCTCTCTACTGTGCAAAAAAGGATATCTTATAATAATCATGGATTGTATTGAAAACTCTGAGATTGGATTATCCATGTTTTATTATATCATTTTATTGACCTATTTGTAAGCAGTTTGGAACCAAACTATACGTCGTGATCATTTAGTTATGGACTGAGGGTTTAATATATTGATGCAAATTATATAAATAAACTGTTTTACTGGTTAATTGATACACACAATTGTATTAATGCAATGTAGTTATATTTAGATAGTGCTTTATACCGAAATTTGTATACCGTACAGTAAATTCTACCGGGTAACCTAGTGCCAGCTACTCTGGTCTGTTCCTAACATGGGCTGTTTGGATCATTTTACAGTTTTTAACAAAATGACTTGTTCCTCCAACAGAACCAAACCATAGGCCTAGTCGAGCCAAAGCCGATATTTATTTAGGCGATAACTAAATGTATGCATCTTCTTACAATCTGTTATTCAATTATAATTTTGATTACAGATGATATTATCAGAAAGTATCTGCTAGGACGATTGAAATTGATATTCAGCAAAGCTAACAGGTTTACTCCAGCGACATGGAATTCTAGATATGAAGTAGACATTGCACACATGTTCACTGACTTGGACATACTAAACGAAAATAAAGATAACAAAGTTGAGAAACCAACAATTCAAGAAGTTTTAGGTATTATTAAATCTACACCTGCATGTCGAGTTGTTATCGATGGTGAGGGGGGTATTGGTAAGTCCACTCTTCTCAGATTCTTAGCATACAATTGGGCTAATGATCTAGATGAGACATTTAAAGGAAAATTATTGTTTCTTGTAAAAGTCAGAGATATTAACAAATGCGTTGTAAATGAAATGTTAAAGGTAGTCAACGTTGACGAATTTGAATCATTAACAAATCTCAAACCAGGCTACGATTTAATTAAACAGTTCATAGTGAAACATGCTCATGAGATTATACTGTTACTCGATGGATTAGATGAATTGAAAGACCATACAAAGAGTCCAATATCTTTATTCAAAAAGGAACAATTAAATAACAGCAAAGTAATAGTTACATCTCGGTCGGGGACTGTAGGCCTAGATAATTTTGTTAAAGAAAGTGATATTCATGTAAATGTCAAGGGATTTAATGAAAGGAATATTGAGAGGTATATCAAGAGATACTTTAAATACTGTAAGAAGCCTGTACTGGCAGAGACTCTAATCAGTAAGCTAATTTTAGATGAAAGCAGAAGGAAAGATAGCAAACATATGGATCCAGTATTGATTTGTAAAAATCCAATGTTGCTTCTTAGTGTTTGCGCCATCTGGGAGGATAAACAATACCTTCCAACAGATAAATCTGAACTTTTTAAAGAAGTGTACCGATGTATAATTAATATGTATATTGACAAACACGAGGCTTTACAGATGAGAAAAATATCTATCTTTGAGAATATTCCACCTAAGTACATATATGCTATGCTTGTACTAGGTAATTGTATGTATGAATCTCTAAAGAAAAATAAGCTATCCATAAACAAAGCTAATATGGAGGGTAATAAAGAGGGGGTTGAATTGGCTTTAAAACTTGGATTTGTTTACAAAGATGCACCAATTTACAAAGATGACTTTGAAGAAATATTTACACCTCCACATAAGTTGATTGTAGAATCATTGGTAGGATTTTACATAAGCAATCAATGCAAAACTCAAATACATCAACTAAAACCATTAGAAAATAACGAATGGGATGTGATAAGAATGAATGAACATTTGGAGGTGGCGCGAATGTTTGCTATTGACTTTCTTGAAGCCAAAGCTGGCAAATTTCTAAAACATTGGATAACTAATAGTTTATCAATATTTTCTCTTATGACACACCTAAATCATGTAAAGGAAGAGCACAGGGTACATGTCGAAAAGACGATAACTGACTACATTTCTGAACACAGTTTTGAAATGAAGCCTCATATTCTTGACATATGTAATTCCCTGTGTAGATGTATCCATTACATCGACCCAACTGTCAATGAAAATTGGACTTTCTTGCGACTGACAAGAAAAGCTCAGCATGTTCAAAATCAGATAGTAAATTTGTTAAAGAAGTCTAGATTCCTCAAAATGTCTCCTGAACTTCTTGGAAAAATGATAGCTCATTTATTAATTGTTCTTAAAGACCAAAATGTCTTGTTTAAGGACAATGTTCATCTGCGTGATGACCATGTTGTTAATTTTCTATTGAATGAGTTCCAAAAACTTCGTTTTCAATATGACATTTCTGATTTAATTAACAATTCTCTTCATCCGTCATTATTAACTCACATACTGTTCCAGGCACCAAACATTTCATTTCTTAATTTGAACAAATGTCATGTAACAGGGGATAAAATAAATGAATATTTCATGCAATGTCCAAAAAGTGGCATGTTAAAACTAAAATGTCTTGACATTAGTAACAATAATCTTAGTGCAGTCAAGGGCGCTTCATTAGCTGGTTTACTTACTATGTCTCCGAACTTGAATGGACTTAATATGACGAAGTGTATGTTATCGGGTGTTGTTGTGAATGATATGGTCAGAATCTGTTCTAGTAGAGTTGTTGTATTGAACCTAGAAGAGATTTACATCAGTAATAATGATATGAGTTCAGTTAAAGGCTCTTCACTATCGGGTTTATTTGTCTTGGCCCCTAATCTAAATTATATTGACATGCAAAGTTGCAGTTTATCAGGTGTTGCTGTGAATGACATGGTTAGGCACTTATCCAATAACCGAGTTAAGATGATATTATTAGAAAAACTTAAAATCTGTGGGAATAATCTAAATGAAATTGAGGGCGCATCACTAGCAGGTTTACTTGTCATTTGTCCTGTACTGAGTGAACTTCAATTGAATAATTGTAGTTTATCAGGTAGTGTGTTCAATGACATGATCAAAATGTGTATCAGTAAAAAAGTTATGTTGGAATTAACACATCTTGACGCCAGTAATAATGATCTGAGTGCAATTGAGGGAGCTTTACTGGCTGAGTTACTTGCCATGGCCCCTAATGTGTATATGATTGACATAAATAGTAGCAGTGTATCAGGTACTGTTGTGAATAATATGGTCGAAATTTGTTCTAAAAAGAAAGTTGTTTTGAAATTACAACATCTTAACATTAGTTATAATAATCTGAGTGCAATTGGAGGTGCTTCATTAGCTAGGTTACTTGTCCTAGCCCCTAATCTGAATTATTTTGATGTACAAAATTGTGGAATAGAAGGTGTTGTTGTAAATGATCTGGTTGAAAATTGTTCCAGAGAAGTTGTGTTGAAATTAGAATATCTTAACTTAAGTGATAATAATCTGAGTGCAATTAAGGGAAATTTACTAGGTGATTTACTTGTCATGGCCCCAAATTTGTGTACGATTGGCATAAAGAATAGTAGTTTATCGGGTGCAGTTGTGAATGATATGGTCAGAATCCGTTTCAAAAAGGATGGGTTGTTAAAATTAGAAGAGCTGGACATCAGTGATAATAATCTGGGTGCGATTGAGGGCGCTTCACTGGCTAGGTTACTTTTCATGGCTCCTAATTTGCGTGACATTTACATAAATAGTTGCAGTTTATCAGGTGCTGTAGTGAATCATATGATCAAAATTCTTCCAAGTATGAGAGTTGTGTTGGACTTAATACTTCTTGACATCAGTAATAATGATCTGAGTGCAATTAAAGGCGATTTACTAGCTGATTTACTTGCCATGGTCCCTAATTTGCGTACGATTAATATAAATAATAGCAATTTATCAGGTGCTGTCGTAAATTATATGGTCGAAATTTGTTCCAAAAAGGAAGTTGTTTTGTTGAAATTAGAAAATCTCAACATCAGTTATAATACACTAAGTGCAATTAAAGGTGCTTCATTAGCCGGTTTACTTGTCCTGGCCCCTAACCTGAATTATTTTGATGTACACCGTTGTACATTAAAAAGTGTTGCTGTAAATGATATGGTCGGCGTTTGTTCCGGAAAGAGAGTTCAGTTCAAATTAGAATATCTTAACATAAGTAATAATAATTTGTGTGCAATTGAGGGCGCTGTACTAGCTGATTTAGTTATGATGTGTCCTAAATTGAGCAAACTTGAAATGAGTAAGTGCAGTTTAACAGGTGGTGTTATGAATGATATGGTTAGTGTCTGCGTCAGTAAGGGAGTAATGTTAGGCTTAATATATCTCGACATCAGTAATAATGATTTGAGCTCAATCGAAAGCGCTACACTATCTGGTTTATATGCCTTGGCCCGAGACCTTCGTACGATTAAAATAGATAACTATTGCAAAATAGAGTTAGAAAATACATGTAATGCAGCAGTACATAATTTGTTAAAAACAATTTAAAAAAGCTCTAGAATAATTTTTGTAAAGATATGCAACTTCAATCAAGTTATTCCAAACAACAGTTTCATTATACCGAAAAGTACATTTGCTATTACAGCTGATTGTTGTTTTACTCTTGCAACAAATACAATTCACATATACAATGTTATCTTTTACATAGAGCTTACACACTCCCTTTCTTAAGACTTTCCTGCTCGTGAAAAAACTGTCACTTGGTTAAATTTGTCGTGCATCTTTGGTAATTTGACTAAAGAGAGTTAAGCTGCTCTGTTCACACTATCAAATTTAATGTCACAAATTTGATAGTGTGGACATAGATTTACGCAGGTTGTTCACACCAGAGACACTGTTAGTTTTGACCAAACATAAACGGATGCTGTGAACACGGCTTTAGAAAAAAAGAATATAATAAAATTAAGAGACAAAAAATATCTAAGGGACGGGGCTTGACAATATTTTTATGCATAGGCCTAGGCTTTAAATTCTCCATGTGCTAAATTAAATAATGCAGTAGTATTCACCTTTAGGGCTGAAGTGTAAAATTACTTTCTTTAATAAACTTCAAAATAATGCTTTTAATGTTTTAATATATATTTTACTATATCTAACAATTTTAACATTTTATCAATGGTTGTATTCAGTATAGTGTGTGTATCTTGGTGTTAATTTTTTATGAACCTCAAACTGGTGCTTTAAATTTTTTCATATTTTAACATGTTCTTAAGCACATTTTAAAGATTTAACATTTTATTAATCGTTGTTACAGTATGCAGTGTGTATCTTGGTGATTGTTATTTATGTAACACATTTTAGACAATGCAATGTATAATCACCCAGATTTTTGAACCATGTTTACATTTCAATTGTGTTTGACTAATAAATAAACCTTGGATCTCGAATCTTGAAAATGGCCAGTGTCCTAGGGACTTTGGCCCTTGCACCAGTCAATGTTTTTTTCATGTTCTGTACATGACAATTACAGTAAATTAGTACTTTCAGAATAATCTCTAGTGAATCCGACAGTAGAGGGCTGGAGATGAAAAGGGGGTAATTTCATGAGAGGCCACCATAAATGGCATGCATTCATGTTCTAAGTAAGATTTTTTGTTCACAGTCACTTTGAAAATGTGTTCAAATGTTAAAGAAATAAAGCAAAAGCTCACTTAATATTTCGTTTTTGGTTAAAAATATATCTGCTTACCAACATTTTTAAAACAGAGACATATTTAAACAGGATAATGGAGAGAAGTTGCATCTCCCTGGGCCCCACCAAAATTGTTCCTGAGCATTATAATCAAATGTAAATATGAAGCTGGTGTCCCATACCTTTCCATCGTGCCTCTCTTCATCTGCCCATCAGCCGAACTCAGGTGTGTTATAATAGAGGCTATTACATAACGAGATGTTACGTATTGTGGTGAAAGAATATGCAATTCAATGTTTTAGTAATTTCAATGATTTTAACTATTGAATACATCTTTTCATATTTTATTGCATTATAGTTAGTACTGTATTTTTATGTCTGTATTAGAAATGTATTGAAATAGGCCATCTTTAAGTCAACATAGCCTTTAGAGCTTCCCGCTCAAAAGATTTTCGAATAAATAAATAAATATGTAGTTTTTGAAATGTTATCAATTTTGAATGGAAGATATGGATTATTTACATTGTCTTTGTAAGATGAACTAGCGAATACCTGGCAAATATGCGCTATAAAATATCCCACTTTATTATTATTATATGTGTATTCAATAGTAATAAAATGCGGCTGTATATAAACACATTAGCATATTATAACGAAAATGGTCGCCGATATAAACATAGACGAGTCTAGAGAATAAAGTGTGATAGGAGAGGAGTTGTGAAATGAGGACTGAAAAATGACAGAAATCGATATTCAAGCACACTGGAGTTTTTAGTACACTCGATTTCGGGCACGGTCGAGTTTTTAGCACAGAGAGAGAGAGGGGGAAGGACTAGTATTGATCGAAAGTTCTAGTATATATAAATATATAAATAAATAAATATATATATAATATGTATACACTCTGTGGTTCAAATAAGTGCCGACCTACTGTAAAACCTCGAATAGAAGTCCAATGGGCTTAATGTCGAGAAGAAGCCCATCTCGAATTGAAGCCCCTCTTTAGTTTGCAAAAGTAACCTCGAGAAGGAGCTCATGGCCTTCTTTTCAAGATGGCATCGGCTTTTGTTCGAGATAGTACAGTACATACATATTTTTTATCCGAATTGTGTTGCGTTCCTTTACGGGAGGGAGTATCTCTCTCCGACGGAGGTCAGTGTCTTCAGGCCCCATTGACGTGACCATTGCTCGACCTGACCTCCATAGTAGTTACACCCTTTTTATGAATAACCCAAAATAAAATACTGATTTAGTAGGTCTAGAATATAATAGCTTTAAAACTTAGGCATACAAAGGAAGTACAACACAAAAATATAAAATATTCATTACAATGAATACATTGACCTCTCGTTGGAAGTTAGTAATCCAGTTTCTAGCACTGGCATATCAGATTTGCTCATACAGGTAACACAACATATTTTGGGTTCGATGGAAAAGCTGCTGGAATTTAAAAGATTAATTGTATGTCTTATGTGAACAATTAGATAGACTGATATCAGAGTTGGTAACATGTGAGTAGCATTAATTTATTTTTTATGGATAAGTCTTTCACACATCTACAATACTTGTTTTATCTTCTTTAACTTTTAGCAAACATAACTGAATTATGCTGGCTTTCTTGGGTTATTTTTTAAAAATAAAATCAATCAATAAATTATCGACTAATCAATTAGTCAATAACTGGTTTAGTCAGTCATCCATTCTGTAGACAGGCCTAATAGTGGCCCGGGAGAGAAAATGTTGGGCCCCTTGCATATTAGTAATGTATACAATGTAAAAAATATCGTGTGAATATTTAGCAATATACGGTAATCAACTAATTTTTTGCACACACATTTTTTATTTCAATATTTGCGTGCAACGTACAAATTAGGTCTATGCATAAATCGTCGTTTGCGTACGTCCATTTCATTACAGCGTGCAGATAACATACTTAATGATAAATGTATTGAACCAAGTTCCAATAAAGATTTTGCATATAAATAAGCATTGTCAAATGATCATTCAATTACTCGTTATCAGGGGCGGATACAGGGAGCATGGGACTATCCCCTATCCCCTAAAAATAGAGAAACAAGCTAATAGTCGATTTAAATTCTATCAGTGTCTATGGTCTCAAAAGCATTTCTAAACAAAATCTTAACACCACCCCCGCTCGGTGATTCGCTTGTCGCGTGACCTCTATCCGGACTTTCCTCTAAATTCGCCCCTGGTTTTATTCCATAAGGTAGGCCTACTATTCCAATATTTAAATAATAAACTCTATTAACACTACAAAAATCAGCAGGTCATCTTTAGATTGAGATCTAAAGTCTCTCTCTTGTAATAAATTTATTGAAATGAAAATTCACATAAAAAAATTAAACAATTTAAACAGAGATACCGTAGGTATTCAACTAAAGGAAAAGCTACTGTATAATTGAATTCAGGCAATATTCTAGAAAGGTATTAATAGTGTTAATTATGTTAAATGGTTAAGGTGAAACAAGTTGAGATAATGTATGGAAATAAATTGACAATAAGAATAGATTCTACTAAAGAAAAAAGATAATTGTAATTCACATAAATGAAAATATTATTGTTATTATCCATGTTTGCATTTGTTATTTAAAACTTTGTTTTTATAATTTAGAGAATCGTGTTGCTTGTACATAAATACAAAGATGAAAATGATATTGAATAAAGGTGGGTTACCCCACAGAAGAGAAAAAAAAAACACTACAAAAATCCAGAGACGGACAGAAACTTACTTTCCACATGATAATTGTAGGCCTACGACTTCTTGATCACTTTTTCTTCGGGTTGTCTAATAGGCTTGAAAATACCAATATAAAGACGGTGCCATTTTTGTTTATGCATGTTGCGAAACATTTTGGCTAGGATGATTTTTCCTGGTCCAGTTAAGAAATGATTCAATTTAGGGACGATCCGGAATAGGGTGTACAGTTTACTAGAATTGTATGGTACTGTAATCTAAACACAGTTACAATGAGTTCCAGGTATCTGATTTAAATTAAGGGCATCTGAAAGGCGCAGACTTCTGCAGTTTCGTTTTTCCAATTAAAGCTGCATTCACATCGGACACGAACCGAAATCCGGATGCTTTTTAGATGCGCTGAACGCCATGCATCCCTATTCTTACTCACTGATTTTATTTTCTAATCGGTTTGGTAGGTCTTCGGATCAGAAAATTCGGATCCAGTGTTAATGCAGCTTAACGCATGTTTGACTGTGGGTAATCAATTGCTTCATTGAGATGCAACTGAGCTCAAAAAGTGTGAGGACTCAATCTGTACTGCAGTTGTGCTCTTGGCTGGTGTAAAACCACAAAATGCTAATTTTTATAATGTATTTGAGTAGAATACGAGTTGACGGAAACATATAGCGAAAATAACGGAAACTATTACGATATAACTTATAATAACATATGTCCTCATTAGTATCAAACGTGATATCCACAGTTTCCGTCATTTTTGTTTATGCATGTTGCGAAACATATTTTGGCTAGGATGATTTTTCATGGTCCAGTTAAGGTCTAGAATATAATAGCTTTAAAACTTGGCATACAAATGAAGTACAAAACGGAAATAAGAAATACATATTACAATAAATACATTGACCTCTCGTCGGAAGTTAGTTATCCAGTTTCTAGCAATATAATAATAACATATGTCCTCTTTAGTATCAAACGTGATATCCACAGTTTCCGTCATTTTTGTTTATGCATGTTGCGAAACATATTTTGGCTAGGATGATTTTTCATGGTCCAGTTAAGAAATGATTAAATTTTAGGGACGATCCGGAATAGGGTGTAACCATGAGGACCATTTAAAGGGAAACGTCACATAACATATATTACAAAAACCGCTTAACTGATCTGGATGAAACTTTCTGGAAGAGTTAAACAAGTAACAAGGAAGAAAGGTTTTCTCCTGCCATTGGGTCCACATACTTTTAGTTGCTGCCATATTGGCGCAGTAGCAAGCAACCCCACTAGGTACTTATTTATACTCCTGGGTGGGGAGAAGCAATGAAGACAAAGTGCCTTGCTTAAGGACACAAGCGAAATGCACAGCGAGGGATTAAAACCCCGACCATAAAGTTAGGAAATCAAAACAGTTGCGCCAAACCGCTTCCACAAGTTAGTAATTATGTAACAGAAATAGATTTATTCATACTATTATTACTTAATATGCAATTAATGTTAAAATGTATATGCATATGTATGTATCTAATGTATGTACCCAATGTATGTATCTAAATAAATAGCATTTAAAAACTAATGCCTTTGGCCACAGTCTGTTGAACACGTATGGATTGTATTATGGATTTTAACGGTCACTGTATCTTGTAGTCTATATTCTGATCTTAAAACAGTTTCATTTTTGAAAGTTAAGTACGTGGTGTAAACAATTAACACTATACCGTTATAAACATATTTACTTGCTTAGTATGACTTTAACATGGGAAAATATAACATTGTTATTTGTCTCACGACATAAAACGTTTACCCATGAAGCTAGATTTATCGCTCCCATTAAATATTGTGATATTCTCTCAGAATTATGTAAATGGCATAGTAAAGTTTAGAATAACCTACAGATTACTGTATTAAAAGAACAGTTCCAAATTATCATAAGCAAAATAACTGAAAAGAAAAGCGCTATACAAGCAACGAATAACAAGTAACAAGCAACTTAATACATATCTTTGTTGTTCTTAATATTTGTTCAGTATTTTATTCATTATTATTATTATTATTATTATTATTATTATTATTATTATTAGGCCTATTATTATTATTATTATTATTATTATTATTATTATTATTATTATTATTATTATTATTATTATTATTATTATTATTTTCTTCTATTTTTTGTCTTCCGCAAGGGTAATTTTTAACGACTGAAAAAAAGTATCAGTTGGATGTTATAACCTGTTGGTCCTGTTACATTTTTCAATTTACAACATTTTTTATGTTCATACGGTAAAAACGTTCCCAAGAAATGGAAAAAAAAGAAATTTTTTGGCGATAATGGGCACACAGGAGTGGCCAGATGGGCAGTGTTAGGTCTACTATAAAATGTAACACCGCGCATAATAACACCAAAAATCGGAACAAGGGTGTTACAACACCCTTGTTTTTTGGTCGCCAACCTTGCATTATAATGCAATGTTTCTAAGACCATGCTTTACATAAACTGTGTCTAGTCATACGGATATTATCACAAGTAGGCTATAACCCATTAATGTTTTCACACTCTCTTGACTACCAAGGGCTTTTAAAGTGATTTTGGCCTACGCAGTATCGTTCATTCACGCATTGAACTCGATACACCACTGAACTCTGTTTCGCGAGGGGAGTCAAGCATGCATATTCATGTATATTTAGTTCACCTGACTGACACAACTCAGCGCCCTCTATAATTTCTGCTTTAACAGTATGGGGAAAAAATAATGCAGGACGGGACGGACCAGGGACCGCCCGAGCCCCTTGGAGAGGGTGCAAGGACGAAGGCTCCAGAAACTCCTAAATTGCTCGACCTAACTTCCATAGTGGTTACACCCTTTTTGTGAATAACCCAAAATAAAATACTGATTTACTAGGTCTAGAATATAATAGCTTTAAAACTTAGGCATACAAAGGAAGTACAAAACGGAAATAAGAAATACATATTACAATAAATACATTGACCTCTCGTCGGAAGTTAGTAATCCAGTTTCTATCAGTTTTGCTCATATAGGTAACACAACATATTTTGGGTTCGATGGAAAAGCTACTGGAATTTAAAAGATTAATTGTATGTCTTATGTGAACAATTAGATAGACTGATATCAGAGCTGGTAACATGTGAGTAGCATTAATTTATTTTTTATGGATAAGTCTTTCACACATCTACAATACTTGTTTTATCTTCTTTAACTTTTAGCAAACATAACTGAATTATGCTGGCTTTCTTGGGTTATTTAAAAAAAATAAAATCAATTAATAAATTATCGACTAATCAATTAGTCAATAACTGGTTTAGTCAGTCATCCATTTAGTAGACAGGCCTAACAGTGGCGAAACGACGAGATGCACCTCAAAAAGTGCGAGGACTCAATCTGTACGGCAGTTGTGCTCTTGGTTTGTGTAAAATCCTAAAATGCTAATTTTAGAATGTATTTTACTAGAATACCTAACATAGGCCTATGACCTCATTGGTATCAAACGTGATATCCACAGCTGCGAAACATATTTTGGCTAAGATGTTTTGTCATAGTCCAGTTAAGTAATGATTAAATTTTAGGGACGATCCGGAATAGGGTGTAACCATGAGGACAATTTTAAAGGAAAACGTCCCCGAGCAGATATTACAAAAACTGATTTACTGATCTGGATGAAACTTTCTGGAAGAGTCAAACAAGTAACAAGGAAGAAATGATTAAATTTTGGAGACGATCTAGATTTGGGGTCATTTAAAGTGCTAAACATCGCATATCTAAATATCTTAAAAAACTGAATTATGATCTGAATGAAAAATAAAATGTTTTGTCATGTTCAAAGGAAGAAATTATTAACTTTTGGTGATGAGCTGGAGTAGGGTGTGGATAGGAGGAACATTTGAAGGGAACTTCCCAGACCTAGATATTAAAAAAAAATCAATAAATGCTTCTGAAACACTTTCTGAAAGGGTTCGTCATGCCCAAAGAAAAAGTATGCAATTTTGGTGACGTTTCAGAGTAGGCAGTGGTGGCTCTTGGATATGTTTTTGGGGGCTAAGCTGTCTGACAGGAGGACTTGAGCTCGTACGCCCGAGCTGGAAGAAGTTGAGAAGGGTTCCCCCTCCAAAATGAGGTTTTTTAAAAATAGCAACCTCTGGATGGCCGGAAATGGCATTCTCAGACTGTGACAGACATGTGTTGGCTTGGTGTGGGCCTATTTTTATATTTTTTATCGTCTGACTGCCCGACGAATTCTGTCCGACGGGGGGGGGGGAGGGGGCTTGATCCCACTTCCCCAGCTGGCGCCGCCACTGAGAGAAAGGGTGTACATGTGGAGACCCTCAAACTAGAACGGACCAGACCTATATAATAAATATCTCAAAAACTGCTCAATTGATCTGAATAAAACTTTCTAGAATGGTTTGTCACGGTCTAAACTCCAAGGAACAATGATTGAAGGCTCTCAATGGCTACCGGATCGCACTAAAACTAAAAACGCATTCGTGGTCTAGAAGTTGGTTATGATGTTCGCTTTGCAAGCGACATGCACCGGATCCTGGTGTTGGTTTTTTTTTTTTTTTTTTTTTTCTAAAAGAAAAGATGCGTGGAAATTTTGTTCATACAGTCGAAGAATTAAAATGGCCGATGTATACGCCAGTGTATTTAGTTTTATATACATTTCAACTCTTTGTAGATAATTTTGCTTATGATAATTTGGAACCATTCTTTTAATACAGCAATCTGTAGCTTATTCTAAACTTTACTATGGCATTTACATAAATCCATCTAGCTTCAGGGGCATACGTTTTTTGTCGTGAGAAAAATAACAATGTTATATTTGTTAAAGTTATGGCAAGCAAGTAAACATAGTGTTAATTGTTTACACCACGTAATTAACTTTCAGAAATAAAACTGTTTTAAGATCAGAATTATAGACTACAAGATACAGTGACCGTTAAAAACCACCAGGCAATCCATACGTGTTTAACAGAATGTGGACAGTTTTTAAATATTATTTTAACAGAATATAAACGTATCAGGTGGATGTCCAGTATATATTTTGAAGTATATAATGTTATTCTAATGAGTAGGCCCTATTACATTTTTAAAAAATAAAACATTTGATTTTTTTCACTTGGTAATTCAGTGCATTGTTTACAAGATGGCTTAGTTATAATAAATTTTTTTGTGGAAAGTAAAAATAATAAAAAGCTCTTGTATTTTTGTAGATTCATTTGTCACAGAAGAGAAAATGGAATCAAAAAGTTTATGCTGTCAACATGATCGTGGTAAGACAAGCACATTTCATTATCAAAAAATGAAAAAGAAAAGAAAAATGTCAATATTAATTAATATGTAATTATAACAATTAGATGATACTTAAGGAAAAAGTCAAATGACATATCGGTACTGTATATATGTGTCATTTATTGTAAATTGTAAAATAAAAAACAACCCTAAATTAAACGATGGAAAGCACAAAATAGACCTAGTCTTTGTAGGTTAGATAAGCCTACAGCCCTAAGCACCCTAGCCCACCCCGCATTGTTAAACCTACCCTATGTATTCAATATTGTTATGATTTTGTTTGTCCGGTATTGTTAACCTAGCATTCGATATTTATTTATTTCGGTATATAATTTACATTCGACAGCGAATGGCTGAATTTGACTGCATTACATTAAAAAATATATAATAGAAATAGAGGCATTGAAATTAAATACAATATACATTAACATTACAAAATTCAAAAGTTCTATATACAAATTCGCCAAAATTACCAAATGAAATATATAAACATCAATGTCCTTAAACATGGTTCATTTTGGATATATACAATTATGAATATTAACATATTAAAATATATAGGCCTAAACACTAAACTAATTTAACCTATTAATGATAATACTTTACCATTAATTTTTAATTAAAAAAATCAATTAATAAATATATGTAGATCACAATCATTGAAATTGACTAAATTTGCCCTCAAACGTTATTATTAAAATTAAATCTGCTAGAATTGTTTATATTGTTAGTATTAATATTAAATCTGCTAGAATTGTTTAGATTAATTACTGGTAATTAATTAATTAATAATAATAATAATGATAATAATATAATAATATAAATAAATAATTTAAAAAGAATGAGATATTGATATTATGTACTTTACTCCCGAATGCTATCCTTCGATATCAATATTACCAATGTTTGGTGGCATCGGTAACACCATCCACATACATGCAGACACTCCTGTTTTGGCCGGGAGACTCCCGTTTTTGTGAACTGACTCCCGCTCAATTATTTTTCTCACGTTTTTCCACATGCTCTCCCAGTTTAAAATTGCATATATACCAGTTTAAAATTGCGTACTTATATATTAATATCTTTTTTTCAAAAATATACTATAAAAAACCTCAAAATTTACGTTGTCTTTCAATATTTTGCTCGGCCTGAAATCGTTTTTAAATGAAGGTTAATAATAATTACGACTAATACTTATATAAGTAATAGTGACGTAGTTGGACCATACCTTACGTCGAATGATTAGACATGAAGTTAAAGTTGCTAAAATACCGGTCCAGTAATTATTCATATTAATTTATGCTCAAGTGTCGAATCCAGATAATAAAAAAATCAATAATTTTATTATTCAATACACATCATGATTTATCCTTATAATACTGACGCTAACGGTTAGCAAGCGCTATCGGTTAGCAAGTTGAGGGCGTTTCTATCATCAACCAATCACACGTACACGTTTACAATTTCCAGTTTCTTATTGGCCAGTGATTCGATCATCATATTGTTGGCTGTCTCTTATACACATCTAGATGTGTATAAGAGACAGCGGTAACACCATCCACATACATACAGACACTCCTGTTTTGGCCGGGAGACTCCCGTTTTTGTGAACTGACTCCCGCTCAATTATTTTTCTCACATTTTTCCACATGCTCTCCCAGTTTAAAATTGCATATATACCAGTTTAAAATTGCGTACTTATATATTAATATCTTTTTTTCAAAAATATACTATAAAAAACCTCAAAATTTACGTTGTCTTTCAATATTTTGCTCGGCCTGAAATCGTTTTTAAATGAAGGTTAATAATAATTACGACTAATACTTATATAAGTAATAGTGACGTAGTTGGACCATACCTTACGTCGAATGATTAGACATGAAGTTAAAGTTGCTAAAATACCGGTCCAGTAATTATTCATATTAATTTATGCTCAAGTGTCGAATCCAGATAATAAAAAAATCAATAATTTTATTATTCAATACACATCATGATTTATCCTTATAATACTGTACATACAATAGCTAATTAAAAGGCAAGCTTTTAGGAAATGTAATGGGGACACACCTCTCCCTCCACCCCATCCAACAGGCCAGGGCTTTCGGTGGCGCTTCCCGCCAAATACTCCCGTTTTTTACCATCTAAATGTTGGCATATATGCATCCATGTATTCGGTATAGATATGCATTTTAGCGCGGCATCATTAACAACTACTCTATATATTCGCATCTGCATTGGGTTGATGAAATTATTAATAAATTTCTAAGATAAAATATAACTATTATAACTGAAATAATTACAACTTAATGTAAAGTTTATACTGTAATATAAACTTATATTTTATTATGTTTGCAGATAAACAAACCGAAAGGAATGGATGTTTTGAGACAGGTAAAAACAATGTTATTGTTAGAAAAATTCCTGTAATATTAATTCTTAATTTCCGGCTGTTGTTGTATAGTTACTTTCTCAGAATAGTAATTGTGTAGGCATATGTGTATTGGTGTTTTGTTACAATGCAAACATGCCAATAACGACGAAACGACGGTGATGTTGATGACAACAATGACCACGACGATGATAATGGTGAAGATAATAATAATGATGATGATGATGATGATGATGATAATCACGAATTGTAAATATACATGTCACTGATTTTAACCAATTTGAATTGAATTTATTTCTATGGATTGAAGATACTTTGGTTTAAAAAAAGTATTTACTTCTTTCTATTAATAAATAAAAAATAATAATCTACACGATTATATTAAATGGAAGTACAGAAAATCCGATTATTTCGATTTGGCAACTTTTTTCTATTTTTACCTACGGGACACACAACATCACAGTTTTTAAATAGTTACCTAGATTAAAATACGACACGCGTTGACAGATTATTTAATAATCTTTAGAACGAAAGTTTATAGAAAATGTTTCAAAATTGTTTGTAATTACAATAAATTCATACCATTTAATTGATATGTTTATATACAATCTCTTTTATGCATACTTCAACTTCAACGACTAAAGTTATTTTCCACATTTTCTTTGCTGCACAATCCCTCCACATTAGTTCTGTTTGCTTTTTCACAATTATTTTTCTCCTTTATCTCGCACAGGACACCCAACACTAGGATAAGATAAAAGCTTTATTAATCCAATAAAATACAATTATTACTAATACTGGCACTGTTAGAAAGTTACATAGCAAACAACGGTCAATTTTATTACAATGATGATGAGGGCACATCTGCTGACTAGCAGTGGTCCTTTCCGGCAGTACTGTATCAATCAAACTATCAGAGGGGCGGCATAACTATTATATGCCTGGTTCTCACAAGAGTCCTAGTATCCGGATAGGGAGATAACCGTTAGCGCTAACCGTTAGCACCTGCGTGAGAACGCCCGATCGATTAGCGCTAACCGTTAGCGGTATAAGGATTACCGCTAACGGTTAGCAAGCGCTATCGGTTAGCAAGTTGAGGGCATTTCTATCATCAACCAATCACACATACGCGTTTACAATTTTCAGTTTCTTATTGGCCAGTGATTCGATCATCATATTGTTGGTATCCGGATCGGGATTTTCTTGCATGGACGCACGGCAGCTAACGGTTAGCAGGATCCGGATCCTGCTAACCGTTTGCTGCCGTGTGAGAACACAGCAAAAGTTAATGTTAAGTATAACATCATAAGAGGTATAACATCATGAAATTTGTTTTCTAGTTGCAGCAACTGCAACTGGACTAATACTTATAAACCCCAACATTGAGAATATGCATGTGAATATTAACACACCTGGGAACCCGAAGAACGAAGGTAAGATACCTACTATTTAAAATGTTTAACGATTTAGTTCCATGAATTGATGCGATTACCTGTTGTGGGCCTACACATGTTATGTTACCAACCTGAGATAGTTGATGCATTGTAGAGTAGTAGGGCCTACGTGTTAATAATAAACTTCATATGGACTATATAAGTTGTTCCATATATCTAAGAACATTCATTGTAGGCCCTATTCGTTTTTTACCCATGAATTATTATGAGTTTATTGATCAACTTGAATTCTGGTTGGAAACAAAATTTTAGTCTCAACCATCTAGTACTGTACCTTTGATTGAGTGTATATGAAATAAGTCGATTGATTGATATTAGATAAGTTAGAACTGTGAGTAGGTTCACACTTGATTGGTTTAAACCATATTTAGGTAATCGTATTCAGTTTACATGTATTGATAGAGTACCATCAAATAATTATATTCGATGTGGAATAACCACAAGGTTCAATAATAGGTCCTCTTGCCTTTCTACTATACATTAATGATCTTCCAAAATAGTGTTTCACAATGTAAAGTAAGCATGTATGCTGATGACACAGCAATATATTATTCATCAAGTTCACTATTCAAAGTATAAATACTGTAATGATCTAGAAGCAGAGTATAAGTGGTTACAGCTAACAAACTTAGCCTAAACATGGAAAAATCATAATTTATAATTGGATCAAGACAACGCTTAGCAAATGTAACTACAACTGTAAATAAACAAAACGGAAAGGACCTTACTATAGTACACTCATGTAAGCATTTGGGTGTAATTTATATAGTCTAGATGAAAATAAACAAATAAACAAGTTATTGATTGCAACATTCTAGTATACAAAATATTAAACAATATGGCACCCGTCTTATCTAACTTATGTTTTCCCTTTAACTAATAATTATTACGATTTTTGTAAAAGTATCTATGTATATATCTAAAAAACCAAGAACTAATTATAAAAAGGAGAAGTATTTCATACCGCGGAGCTATTGAATAGAACAAACTAAATTCAGATGTACAAACTTCAAATACTTAAAGCATTTTCAAAAAACTTATTTTATATTCCTCAATGTAATGTTAATGTTTATAAATGTACTTTTTTTCTGTTTAGAGTAAAATAAAATATACTGTTCTTATAAATTACTTTGTAGAATGTAAATTACATTATTTTGTTATACTGTATTAACTTTTTCTTTTATATTGTATGTTTTGTAAATTTTATTCATATTTTGTTTTCTTTTTTACCATGACCACGATGAAAAGCAGCATGTAAATTGATGAGTTATGTTTTCGTGAATAAATAAAGCTTGACTACTACTGCTGTTGCTACTGCTACTGCTACTACTACTACTACTAAATTGACTGATTGATGGACACACACACTAAATCATTAGACTAAGTGTGTGGGATGATGTTTTTATTTATATATTTTATTTTCAGTCAATATATAAAATATTTATTTACAGATGATAATAATACCAGAAATTATCATCTGTAAATAAATTTATGATCAATTTAATTACAGATGAAACTATCAGAAATTATCTGCTTGAACGAATGAAAATGCTGTGCAGCAAAGCGAACCGGGTCACTCCAGCAACATGGAATTCTTATCATGAAGTAGACATTGCACACATGTTCACTGACTTGGAACTGCTTAAAGAAAATAAAGAGACCAAAGTAAAGAAGCCATTAACATTTCAAGAGGTTTCAGATATTATTAAATGCACACCTGCATGTCGAGTTTTTATCGATGGTGAGGGGGGCATTGGTAAGTCTACACTTCTCAGATTTTTAGCATACAATTGGGCTAATGATCTAGATGAAACTTTTAAAGGAAAATTGATATTTCTTGTAAAGATCAGAGATATTAACGAAAGCATTTTGAGTACAATTTTGAAAGGCATCGACGTTGAAGAATTTGAATTGAAAACTGAACTGAAACCAGGATCTGAGATTATTAAACGATTCATAGTGAAAAATGATCATGAGATAGTGCTGTTACTAGATGGATTAGATGAATTGGAAGACAATATGAAGAGTCCAATAAGCTTGTTCAGAAAAGAACAATTGATAAACAGCAAAGTAATAATTACATCACGGTCAGAATATGAAAATGAGTTTGTTAAAGTAAGTGATGTTCATGTAAATGTGAAGGGATTTAATGAAAGAAATATCGAGAGGTATATTAAGAAATACTTTGAATACCGCAAAAAGCCTAAACTGGGGGACTGGCTAATTAGTGAGCTAATTTTGGATGAAAGCAAAAGGACAGATAGCAAGCAATTTGATCCTCTACCAATTTGTAAAAACCCAATGTTGCTTCTTAGTGTATGTGCCATTTGGGAAGATAAACATTACCTTCCAACAGATAAATCTGAACTCTTTAAAGAAGTATTCCGGTGTATATTAAATATGTACATTGATAAACATGAGGTTGCAACAATGAGAAAAATTTCAATCTTTGAAAGAACTCCAGTGAAGTACATACACGCTATGCTTGTACTGGGAAAATGTATGTATGAATCTCTAAAGACAAATAAGCTCTCCATAAACAAAGCTAATATGGAGGGGAATAAAGAGGAGGTTGAATTGGCTTTAAAACTTGGATTTGTTTACAAAGATCCACCAATTTACAAAGATGACTTTGAAGACGTGTTTACACCTCCACATAAGTTGATTGTCGAATCGTTGGTAGGATTTTACATAAGCAATTTATGCAAAGTCGATTCCTTAACTGGTGGGTTTGAAAATCCAATCATTGAACTAAATCCATTAGGACTAAATGAATGGGAGGTGATAAGAATTAATGAACATTTGGAGATGGCGCGAATGTTTGCTATTGGCTTTCTAGGAGCTGAAGCTGGCAAATTTCTAAAACTTTGGATAACAGAAAATTTATCAACATTTTCTCTAATGACATACTTAAATCATGTTAAGGAAGAAAACAGGATAAATGTAGAAAAGACGATAACTGACTACATTTCTGAACACAGTTTTGAAATGAAACCTCATATTCTTGACATATGTAATTCTCTGTGGAGGTGTATCCATTACATTGACCCAACTGTCAATGAAAATTGGACTTTCTTGCAATTGATAAGAAAGGCTAAGGATTTTCAAAATCAGATCGCGAGTCTGTTAAAAAGATCTCAATTCATGAAGATGCCACCTAAATTTCTTGGAAAAGTGATAGCTCATTTATTCATTGCTTTTAATGACCAAAATGTCTTGTTTGAGGACAGTACTCACCTACGTAATGAAGGTGTTGTTAATGTTTTACTGGATGAATTTCATAAACTTAGTTTTCAATATGAAATTTCTTATTTGATAAACAACTCACTTCATCCGTTATTATTAACTCACATACTGTTCCATGCACCAAACATATCTGTCCTTAATTTAAACAACTGTCTTGTAACAGGTAGTACAATGAACAGATGTTCCAAGAAATATCAAAAAGGTGGCGTTTTCAAATTAGAATGTCTTGATATCAGCGATAATGACCTAAGTGCAATCGAGGGCGCCTTACTAGCTGATTTACTTATCATGTCTCCTAATCTCCATGGACTTAATATAACGAATTGTAGGTTATCAGGATTTGTTGTGAATGATATGGTCAGAATCTGTACTAGTATACTTCGTGTGCTGAATTTAGAAGAACTTTACATCAGTAATAATGATCTGAGTGCTATTAAGGGCGCTTCACTAGCTAGTTTACTTGGCCTGGCCCCTAATCTGAATTATATTGACATAAAAAAATGTAAATTATCAGGTTTTGTTGTGAATGATATGGTTAAAATATGCTCCAATAAGCAAAATATGTTTATACTGGAAAAACTCAACATCAGTGAGAATAACCTGAGTGAAATTGAGGGCGCTTTATTAGCTAGTTTTCTTGTCATTTGTCCTAAACTTAGTACACTTCAAATGAGTAGGTGCAGTTTATCAGGTGTAGTTGTGAATGATATGGTCAGAGAATGTTTGAGAAAAAAGGAAGTTTTGTTGAAATTAATACATCTTGACATCAGTGATAATGATCTGAGTGCAATTGAGGGCGCTTTACTAGCTGATTTACTTATCATGTCTCCTAATCTGTGTGGACTTAATATAACAAATTGTAGGTTATCTGGAATTGTTATGAATGACTTAGTCGGAGTCTGCACTAGCAGAAATGTTGTGTTGAGTTTAGAAGAGCTTTACATCAGTAATAATGATCTGAGTGCAATTAATGGCACATCGCTAGCTAGTTTACTTGGCCTCATGGTCCCTAATATGAATTGTATTGACGTACAGAATTGCAGATTATAAGGTTTTGTTGTGAATGACATGGTCGGACTATTTTCCAAGATGGAAGTTAAGTTGTCAATATTAGAAAAACTAAACATTAGTTATAATAACCTGAGTGCAATTGAGGGTACCTCATTAGCTAGTTTGCTTGACATTTTTCCCACACTGAGAACACTTCGAATGAGTAGGTGCTATTTATCAGGTGGAGTTGTAAATGATATGGTGAGAGTATTTTCTAGTAGAACTTTGTTGAATTTAGAAGAACTTAGCATAAGTAATAATAATCTGAGTGCAATTGAGGGCGCTGTACTAGCTAGATTACTTATTATGTGTCCTGAATTGAGTACGCTTGAAATGAGTAGGTGCAGTTTAAGAGGCGGGGTTGTGAATGATATGGTAAGAATCTGTGTGAGTGAGAATGTAATGTTAGGTTTAACATGTATAGACATCAGTAATAATTACCTCTTCAACAGCGCTTCACTAAATGGTTTACGTGCTATGGCTCCTGATCTACATACGATTTTAATAGGTCATTATTCCAAAAAGTGTGTATGCTTATGATCGATTGTAGGCTTTAACATCGGTGAAACCCGGACCTGGACAACGTGCAACAGAAAGTTTTTATGACTTATCTTGTTACCACATCCAAAATAAGACAAAATCGGACCACCCGAAAGTGACTAATTGTGGAGTTAAAATAGCGTTTAAGATGCTTGCCTTATAATTTGGTTTAGCATCGTTCCATCCTGTTAGTGGCGAGTGTTGCTGTGGGATGTGAAGGAATTAAAAAAACAAACCAAGAAGTAATAATTCAATGATGGTGGCCCTATTGGCATAAACACTAATATCCCAGAAACCACTGACCGTACATTGATTTTTTTGGTATCTAATTTTGTTCAGAATATATACTGTATCTATTCTTTCTCTATGGTCTAATGAAATAGTTTATTAAAAAATGTTCAGAAATGCTGTTTTTGAACTTAGGCCTATTCTGCAAGGAACCTTTGTATCTTGGTAATCATTGGTACTAGAGAGTTCATTTTGAAACTTTCTACAAATAGTGGTTGCTCAGATATAGATGCCTTGCAATATGCAATAAAGGTCATTGTTATATTTGTGACCAAAGGCCTACACATGTTTGGTTTGCGATCACGGCTTGACATGGAACATTAAATGTTATTTGTGGCTACAAAATTTTGGTACTTGACAACAAATAGTTCTACATAACTGAGTGTGCAATTTTATATATTGAATATTTTCATGCTCAGATCAAATTCCTAAATTTTATTATAGATGCTAAATTAAAAATTATGGGTGATCATTGCTAGCGCGAGTATTCACCTTTGGGGTTGAGGTGTAAAATTATTTTTTAACCTGAAAATAGTGCTTTTAATTGCTGAAGGAAATTAGACTAGTGTGTATTTTAATACTTTGGAAAAATAATTGTAAATAATTTTATATGGTAATAAATATTTATTTTGTTGGTTGTGAATTTTCAAATTTTAAATTAATTGCAATGATGTAAATTAATAATGATAATTATATTTTTGTAGTCTTTCTATTAATATATTTGTATTTAACTTCATTGTATAATGTTGCATATTTTTTAATTGAATTTTATCATCTTTTAATGTAAAGCGCATTTAACAGATATTAATCTGAAAATGCACTATATAAATAAATAATAATAATAATTATTATTAATGTTCTATATAAATAAATATTATTAATAAATGAATTTGACTTCAAATTTTTATATGCTATTTTACTGTATCTGTATGTATCAATTTAAATTTTGTCATTAATGTAATTTTTAATAATCTTGTAAATTATAGTAATATAATAATCTTAACATTGTAAATAATAAATTTTAAAAACATAATACAGTAATTAGTAATTAATGTATTTGAATTTTCAATTTTATAGGCCTACATATGATCCCATTTTCTTAATTCCTATTGGTATATATATTTTTTTATCGGTTCTATTTTTATAAAAATGCAATATTGTACAGTATATTGTCTTTTCAAAATTTAATTGTAATTGAATTGTGAATTTATTACATTTTTAGGTAATATTTGAATTTATGTGTCATTTGTATTGTTTCATATTGTAAATTCAGTTATTTCAGTCTTCTACTGCTGACATTTTATGTTCTCATACCTGAATAAAATAAAAATATTATTATTAATGTTTTAACATGTTTTTAACTACATTTTAATAATTTCAACTATTTTTTCATATCAATAATTGTCAGTATATTATGTTTATTATCTATTTTGTTATTTTTAGACAGTGTAATGTATAATCAATCTAAGTTTTGAACCATGTTTAACTTTTGTTTGACCAGTCAATAAACCTTGAAATCTTGAAAATGGTCAGTGTCCCAGGACCCTTTCTTTTTGTAATTTTCTGAAAATTGGCAATAATAGTAAATTTGGGACTGGGCATGAGAAAGGTGTAATTTCATGAGGGGCTAAAATCAATTTGCCACCAAAAATGGCATGCATTCATGTTTAAATTGACTTTTTATATTTTATTGCATTGTAGTTAAGAGATTTATATCTTTATATGATTTGTATTGAAAGAGGGCATTTCTTTAGAGCCACCTACTCATATATTGCCAAAGTATTAAAATAGAAGCGCCTATGTAGTTCTGACAAAATTTTTAAAAATTCTATCAATTTTGAATGGAAGAAATGGACTATTAATATTGTCTTTGTAAGACGAACTAGCACCTTAACTGTCAAATATGTCAAATACATAATTAATAATGGGATATTCCATTGTTATGTTTATGTGTCTGTCCATCTAAGAACCTCAGTGGGGTATCTAGGGGGATGCGTGGAAAGGGGATGTGCACGCCCCTCCAAAAATTACTCGCGCCCCCAAAAAATCATGGTCAAGTAGTTAAAAATCA